CAAACGGTAGTTACTGCTGTAATTAATAAAGATACTACTCCAGATGATAAAAATTCATGCTGTTCAAAAGAACGAACAAAACAAAGCAAAACAAACAAAAACTCAAATACAAACTCGAAACGGACCACAGACCTAAGTGTACATGCAAAACTAGAAAACTTCTAGAAGATGACACAGGAGAATACCTCGATGACTCTGGGTTTTGCAATGAGTTTTTAGATACAATACTAAAAACGCGACCCACCAAAGAAAAAGCTGAAGTCAGACTACATTAAAGCTTGAAAGTTCTGCTCTGAGAAAGATACTAAAAAGACATGTCACAGACTGGGAGGAAATATTTACAAAACACATGTCTGACAAAAGACATATATCTTAAATACACACACAAAAAAAACCTCTTAAAACTTTACAATAAAAAAACAAACAATCCAGTTAGGAATAGGGCAAAAGATGTGAACAGGCATGTCACCAAAGAAGACACGCAAAAGGCAAAATGAGTACATAAGATACTCAACATCGTGGGTCCTCTGGGGATTGCAAATTTAAGCAATGAGACAGCACTCCGTATCTACCAAAATGGCCAAAATTCAGAGCACTGACAACATCAAATGCTGGCGAGCATGTGGAGCACAGGAACTCTCATTCACTGCTGGTGGGAATGCAAAATGGTGCGGCCACTTTGGAAGACAATGTGGCAGTTTCTCACAAAGATAAACATAGTCTTACCATATGACCTACCAATCATGCTCCTAGGTGTTTATTTACCCAAATCTTCAAGAGCTGAAAACTTGTGTGTACACAAAAGCCTTCACACAAATGTTTACTACAGCTTTGTTCATCATAATTGCCAGAAATTGGAAGCAACTGAGATGTCCTTCAAGAGGTGCATGGATAAACAAACTATAGCACACTCAGAGTGGAATATTATTCAGCGCTAAAAAGAAATGAGCTATATATCAAGTGATAAAAAGACATGGTGCAACCTTAAACGCACATTGCTAAGTGACAGAAGCCATTCTGAAAAGGCTACAAAACACACTAATTTCAACTATATAGCATTCTGGAAAAGGCAAAACCACAGAGACAGTAAACAGATCAGTGGTTGCCAAAGGTCTATGAAGCAGAGGAAAGGATGATTAGGGGAGTTTCAGGACAGCCAGACTATTACGTATGACACCGTTAATGGTGGATACGTGACATCGTCCATTTGGTAAAACCCACAGAACGTACAACACTGTGAGTGACCCTGATGTCAACTCCAGGCTTCGGTTAATAATACTGCAGCAACTTTGGTTCATCAGTTGTAACAAATGTACCAGATCAACGCAAAGTACTAGTAAGAGGGCAACGTGGGGAAGAGGGAGAGGAAGTATGTGGGAACTGTGTGCTTTCTGCTCAGTTTTTCTGTAAGCCTAGAGCTGCTCTATAAAAAACAAAATAAAACAAAGCACTACACTGACAGCAGGAATAAAAGCACGGAGGTTACAGTGCACAGCAGTGAGGGAATGACAACCAGCTGTGTCCTTCGGATATTTTTAATAGGTCACCCTCCTGACACTGTAAAGATGGATTTGGTGCAGGTCAGACAAAGCAGGCCAGCTAGGAAATGCCTGAAATTGTCTAGACGAGAAATAGGAAAGGCCAAAACATTCCTACCCGTGGTGGTAGGAACAGACAATTTCGTATCTTTTGGACACTGGGTGGATAGGGCACCCTGAGCTAAGATGGACAAGAACGATGCATGAGCAAGTTTGAGGTTTGGTCATGTTGTACCTGAGGGTCACAGGCATCACAGGAGAGATGTCCAACAGGCAGTTTGACTTCAATGTGAAGCTTGGGGAGAGGCTGGAGCTGGGAGTCCGCAAACGGCAATACTTCAAACTGTCAGTGGGTGAGATCACCAGAGAATGCACATACAGCACTAAAAACAGCGGGCCCAGGACCACAGAAAACATCCATTTCTAGAGGAGAGCAGAACAGGAGGAGCTCTCAAAAACAAAAACGATCCCAGGCAGGAGGAGGACAGACAGGGGTCACGGAAGCCAGGTGTGTGGGTCAAGTTGAAAAGCTGCTAAATCTGTGTCTTCCACAGTGGCAAGCTCATACATAATGCTGAAAACTGAACATTCAACACATTTACAAAGCGTGCCATTTAGGGATATGGAAGTAAATGCCAAGAAATCAGCTAAGACTTAAAAGTCCTAAAAGACTTATAAGTGCTTGCCCGGGGCGGGGGTGGGGGGGTGAGGAATGGAAAGAGAGGGGTTTAGAACTATTAGTTTTTCTGAAAGAGGCTTTCACATTAGGTACAAACAAGAATACTTAAATACAAAGGAGGAGAGACTGGGATTGGTGGTAGGTATACTGTATGTAAAAGTTCTGGGGTTTAATTAGACACAAATGTCACAGCATCCAGGAGACAGGGCTACTAAACAAGTCAATATTAAGCTGCATTTACTAGAAGTATAACATCCCCATCCAAATAACAGACTGTAAGGTACTACAGAATTGTTAAAGAATCTTTCATTCAGTAAAAACAAAAAAACTAGATCATTAAAAAAAAAACCCACGAAAACAAACATCAGACTGAACTTTTCAGATCACATCAGGAACACAGAACTCCGATTCTGGATGCTATGTTTTAGGAGGGTCCAAATCCTCCTTTGGGATCAGGTTAAATCAGTTCTTCCCTCTCACACTCATCCTTTTTATCCTAGAGGCCCTGCCTTAATTCAGGCTCTTAACACACCACATCCAGGTCAAACCAACGGCATCTCAATTGATCTTTTTGTCTCCAAGCTACCCTACATCTTACATACAAATTAATTTTCTGAAAATCTATTTGGTTCCTATCACTCCCCTTCTCAAAAATTTTTTTAAACTGTTTCCTATCATCTGCCTTCTTTGCAGGACATTTAAGATCTTTTACAAGCTGATCACAAACTAACTCTTCACCCCAGTCCTGCTGCTTTCAAAAATGAACTGTCAAACCCAGTGAGCCTGGTACACTTATGGTTCCTTGCTCGCGTGCGCCCGCGCGCACACACACACACACACCCCTCTTAGATTATTTACTTCTGTGCCTTAGGTCCTGTGCCCTTGCTCCCATTCCCCTTTGAGCCTGCTCTTCTCTGCTTATAGGAGCACCATTTATACATCAAGCAAGCCCCATGCTTTCTCTTGGGCTTTCCCTTGTCCCTCTTACTGCAGGGACATCTCTCTCCCCTGGACTCCCCCGTCACTCTACACATTCACAGTGTCAACTATTTCACAGTTACCACATACAGATCGACTTTACACCACTGCAACTTTTAAAAGTACCCCCTGTAAGTGTCAATCTTATAAACCACGAGCTTAAGATAGCCAACAATAGCTATCATCTTATGATCGTCACCAAGCTTCATCTATACATTTAAAGACACCAAAATCCAAAATGTCATCTACTCCTTTAAGTACAACGAATTTTTTCCCTCTCTGCCCTCCTAGCATTCTGCACGTCTCCACTCCAGCACATGTCGTAACACATGGATGTTATCAGTCTGAATCCCCGACCTCCGCCTCACTACCAGGAGTTACATGGAGGCAGGGATCTGTGGCAGAACAGATACACAATCAGTATTTAATGAATTGAATCACTCACCCCACTGGCAGTTCTGATGGGTTTTGCCTTTAACTTGGGGACCAAGACCTTGCGGTACTGAGGCGGGACGGCAGCAATGATGTCCACCAGGCGGGGCTGCGCTGAAAGGCCGTAGGTGGCAGCTGTCCTGGTTTTCACCCTGAAAGGAAAGCATCCAGCATTATCAAAATCACAATAGCTCAAGGGCAAGCTACCAGCAGGATAAGCTACAAACAACACCAACAACTCCTGTCACTCCCCCCTCCCACCAGATGACAATAGTGGCTTTAACATTTGCAACTATCAGGGAAATAGAAGAACAAAGTCCGTGACTTCCTGTGCTCACTCTGGAGTATAAGAAAGAAAACGAGATGACGACAGCGACACAACGGAAGTCTCGTTTGAAGTCGTGCTCCAGCCTCAAAGGATTCTACCCTTTTCTCAACCTCAGCGTTACTGCCTTTGGGATCAGGTTAATTCTGTCCCAGGGAACTGTTCAGTACACTGGAGGATGTGTAGCAGCAACCTTGGCCTGTACCCAATAGCACCCTGTCTTCCCCCTGTAACAACCCAAAATGCCTCCAGACATTGCCAAGAGGGTGGGAGAAGTGGGGGATCATGGTTGCAAACTTGGCTGCCTGGTTGCAAACCACTGTCTCAGCCCCAAAAAAACAAAACAAAACAATTTAAACCAATCTATGTAGAACCAAAAAGAAAATAAACTATGTATTTTTTAAAGTTTTAAAACTTTTTCTGATACAAAGTACTATATACATAAAGAATAGAACATAAAACATACTTTAACAACTATAAAGCAACCACTCGCGTAATCGCACACCAAGACAGAGAGACCCCTATTTGCCCCTTCCTGACTGTAACCCTGTCCCTATCCCCCAGAAGTAACCTTTAACCCAACTAATAATTCCTTGCTTTCCTCTATAATTTTACCAGCTTTTCTTTTCTTTGTGGCTGCGTGCCATATCCTAATAGTCACTTTATCTTCTCATTGTAATCCATCTAGAAATATTATGGGGTGTTCGAATCATTTCAACAAATGCTTACTGGGTACCTGACCAGTACAAGAGGCTACCTAAGTACTTGGCAGGTCAGGAGGTATAAGGCATCGCCGTTTTGCACTCTACGGCTGCATGTTTGCAGACAGGCAGACACAAAAATAATCTACAAGTAATAAAAACACACGTAATAAAACACACACACAACAATGAATGCTTCCACAGGTCAAGAGAGGAACTTAGTGTGTGCTGCGGAGATAAGTCATGTGCACAGAAAAAAGAGTACACTTCAGACAGGCAGTAAAGACATAGAGGGGACACCGAGAGCAGACAGGCTGGCTCATGTGAAGATGCAAAACCAGGAATGCACATATTTTAAGGACTAGGGGTAGACCAACTTGATGGAAAGCAAGAGATTTTCAATTTAACAGTAAAGAAGTTTAAAAAGGAATGGAATGGAAGTGAGAGTCACAATGAAGAAAGACTAGACAAAATTTAGACCCTAACTGGACCTAAGGAAAAAGCCTCAAAGACGACACTACAGTTTCAAGCCTGGTGAAGGTTAAAACAATTAGGTAAAGAGGACACCTGAGTTGAAGCTGGTTTTAAGGACGATGTTAGCTTTAGCTTTAGATGTGCTAAATTCAAGAGAATGACAAAAATATACAAGAAGGGGAGATGTCCACGAGACAGAAAAGATTTGTATAATTAGGGGTATAGGCAACAAAGACAGGAAAAAAATTAACTGCTAAACACTTGGTAGAAAAATCAATAAAACATAATGTCTTCATAGTAAAAAAAAAAAGAAGAGTTATTTATTTCTTTAGCAAATGTTTATCAAGCACAATGTTCCAAGGAAGGGGAAAAATCTGAAGTATCTCAGTAACAGAGGACAAGGTCTAAAAAAAAGGTCATGTGCGTTGTAATTAGACCACTGATGACTTGGGAGTGGGAGGGAACCTCTCACTAGAGCAGATCTATACAGTGAATACACAGTAATAAACAGATGCAGAGAGGAAGGACCAGTCTTACTTGAGGATGTAGCAAATCAAAACTGAACATGATTGTGGCGAGGAAGTGGATGAACATTCATAGAGGATCTCAAGTAAGGAAGGGGTGGATTAGATCAAAGTCCCCAAAGAGAGGGTCTCCTGGGAGAGAGCTACCACTTCCTCTAAGATGACAGGGAAGAGAGAAAGATGTGTAGCGGGGCAGCACAGAAGAACAGAACATGGGCTCTGGAGACAGGCGACCTAATTCCACATCCCAGCTCTGCCAATTACTAGTTATTTACTCTTGGACAAATTATTTAACCTGTCTCTGTCTCAGGGGACCCATGTGTCACGAAGGTGACGTATGCACCGACCTCATACAGTTTTTGAGAGGATCAGCTGAGCGAATACACATACTGCGCTACCAGTGACCGGAATATAGTAAATGCCCAAGAAATGTTAGAGGTTATTAGTACTATTAGGCCATGAGACGATTTTGCCATAAATAATTGACAGGACAGGGCAGAAAGCTAAATTCTCAACAGAAAAATGAAATGTGAGCTAGAACCAGTTGTATCTGATAAATTCATCAAAGAGATCTGCTCCCCCAGAACAAGACTACCCTTATAGATGAACTTACTTATTTAGGTCAATGTCTCTCCCCTGTTCGTGGGCTTCAATTAGCTGTTTAATAACATCTCCTATGGTCAGCATCATTAGCTCAGCAGGGCTGAGATCTCCTGGAAAGACAATATTTAACAATGTAAAAAATCATATTATTCAGTACAGACTTTTGTATTTGTTAGCAATTGTCCTTCCAAAATCATTTCAATCGTGCCAAATGAGTAGCTCAAGTTCACGAGACACTAAAACTTTATTGCTTACAATTTGATCATATATTTTGTATCTTTAACTTAAAGGAAACCTGCATACACCTATATACGGGAAAAGCTCACTTTAGAAGCACAGACACCATGAGAATGATACAGGAAAGAGTAGAGACAAGCATGAGGAAAAAGAACCCTATCACACAGGAAAGGACCCAAGTAGTTAAAATAGCTTCCCTTTATCTCCAGATTCATAATGACATTTAGATGCATTATTTCATTATTCTCAGAACAGAGTGAGGTAGATGGAACAGGAATATTTGCCTGTCTCATTAAAATGCCACCAGGGGTGAAGCTGAAACCAAAACCCAGGTATCCGCAGAACAGAATTACAAAGCAATATAATGCTACTTTGAAATAAAAAGATGTGGGTCTATACTTGCCTACAGATCTTAATGCACCTCTGAGATATAGTCTGTCCACCATCCCAACCTTCTCCTGGCAACTGAGGCCTCCCTCCTCATCTACATGGCAACAGCAGAAGCTGACCTGTTCCTACACGACCCCTCCCCCGCCTCCCCAGTTAAGGCTGAGTGGTTCAGGGATGGGTATCTATCCAAGTCAGGCCAATCTGAGGTCTTTTTCTCAAGGCAAAAAACACTAGTCCCTCTCCAGTGATAGAAGCTGTGAGATTTCAACTTGGGAGTGCTCACGAGCATGCCTCCTGCCTGGAGAGAAAGCAGGTGTGCAGATAATGAAGGCATCAGAGACTAGCACGGATGAGAAACCTGGCGCTGACGGAGCCCTTCATTACTTCATCTTGTTTGAAACCTCACAACAATACAGCCAGGTGGGTATTGTTATACCACTTTACAGACGTGAGAAATTAAGGCAAGGTAAGACACCAGTAAGTGGTATAGTTAAGACTCAAAATCAAGTCTTTTCTCCGCAAGTCACATGCTTTTCTTCACTGTACCAAGCCGCCTCTAACTCAATGAGGCAAAGCTAACCCATACAAAACAATCTGAGAGAAAAAGTTTATCTATAATCAAGGGCTAAATGCTTTCTAAACCGTGTAACTCAGCACTTTGGAGTTCTACAAAGGCACCCGAGGGGGGCCGTGGAACGGAAGGAGGGTTGGCGGCAGTGGGAGGGGACTGGGAGCGGGAGAGGAAGGTCAGGGAGGGCCTCTTTCTCCATTTCAACCAAAGCAGCGGGGCTTCCAACTGTTTATCTATTGAGGGTCTGCGTAAGAATTATTTGGAGGGCAAAAGGGGATTCAGGTGATAAAAATACAGGCAAACCTCAAAGATACTGCAGATTCGGTTCTAGACCACCACAATAAAGTGAATACAATAAAGCAAGTCACTAATCATTTGATTTCCCAGTGCATATAAAAGTTATATTTACACTATACCGTAGTCTGTTAAGTGGGCAGCAGCATTATGTCTTAAAGAATACTTTAAGACCAAGACCACTGTAAGAATCAACTGAAATATTATATCTTGAAAGCCAAAGTATTATTTGAATATTAGTTCTTGATGAAAGTGGATGAGGAGGATGGTGGCTGGAATGATGAGGGCTATTTGAAGAGGCAATTTCTAAATAAAAACTAACAGGGCTTGGTGATAAAGTTAAAAGTGTAAAAGCTGTCTGGCCTGACAGACCCAGGAGGAGCAAGTTAGTGAGATGACTTATTTGGGGCACGTAGAATTTGATGCTACAAGGCAACTGAAGGTAATTTTTAACATTTGGAATTGTTGTTTCAAGAAATTGCAGGTGATGCCAAGAGGAATAGTGATTAAGGACAGGTTTATTTATCTTTAAAAAGAAATTTTTGTTTGGGGGTTCATAGAGACAGCCTGACCAACCAGTTCCACTTTCTAAGTATAATTTTGGGCGAGGAAAGTTACTTAACTCTTTGACTCTCAGCTTCTTCATTTGTGAAATGGATATGATATTGGCCTAATAATTATTAGCAAAGGCTCGACAAATAATAGCTATGGTTATCATAACCATCATTATTAATTATTAGACCAACTGCTCAAATGAGTGTACAGAGATAATACTATAATCTGTGAGAAAATACTTGAAATTTGACTCCAACCTGTTGAAAAACTAAAGATGGAATTTTTCAATGCTAACTCAGGAGGTAATACAAATGTGAATAACTGCATAACTGCCCCACAGAACCCAAGAATAATTCAGTGTTTTTTTTCTTTTTTTAAACGTAGCTTAAAAAAAAATCAAAAAAACAAGCGAAATGTGCCGTAAAACAAATGTTAGCAAATTAGGAGTCCCAGAACGCGTTAGATCTACCGACCACGTTAACTTCTTGGAGGGCATACCTTAGAATAAAGCTTTTCTTGTCATTTATGCAAAAGACACCAAGTGACTGCCAAAAACGGAAGGTAAGGATAGGTTGGCTTAAAAAGTACAAAAGGTTAAACGAGAAAGCAGGGGTCTGGGGCAGACAGGTGGTGGGGCCACTGGCCAGGTCAGGTAGCGGATTTCCGCGGGAATAACTGGCTCCAGCGCCTGCCGGCCCGGGCTCGCCCCTTTCCCACCTTCCCACATCCTCCCTCCCCTTCGCACCTTTCCGCTTCTGCCTCATTTCTCCGCTGTCGTAGCAGCCGCCACCCCAGGTACTGGATCTACTAGCTCCGACCTCGGGGTAAATTAACAGCCACAAAGCAACCCTGTTCTGTCGTAAAACGACGGTCAACGTACCGTAAAGTTGTTCCCAGAAAACAGCGCGCTCAAAGGTCCGCCCCGCCTCCCAGCGGCGGTTCGCGGAGCCGCCGGGAGGCGGGGAAACGCTGCGGGTGGGACCCTGCGGCTGGGTCTCAGGCTTGTAGGGTGATAGCGTGTTAACGCCATCGCCGCTTGCAAGTGAGAAAGCTGGATCTGGGCAGTACAGCCACCGACAAGGCTTATGGATAGAGGCTGCGCCAGGAAGCCTAAATAAGAGGGTGGATATGGGTGGTCTCTAAATAAAGGTGGAAGAGCCGGGTGTGCAGCACGTTGGGTGGCTGGGCCGAACGTGAGTGGGAGGTCGCGTGAGGGCCTGCCCGCCAGTGTGGTGGAAATTAAGCTCAGAGCTGGAAAGAGACCACGCAGAAATCAAGTAATAATCTTGTTACCGAGTCCAAACTCATTGTGCTCACTGCAGGACAGGCCAATAAATCAGGAGAGGAGGTGTTGGGGCAAGGAATAACGACTTTATTTGGAAAGCCGGTAGATCGAGAAGGTGGCAGACTATAATGTCTTAGAGGACCATTTTACTGAAGTCAGAAATCAGGCTCCTATTATACTAAAAAAAGGGGGGGGGTTGGTTGGTGCAAACTTCTTGGTGTGGGAATTCTTTGTTCTTGTGGCTGTCCACATGGGTCAGGTCAAGGTGCCCCTGTGAAACCTCTAACAGAGTAAATGTTATTTTCTTTTCTGCAACTTGTTATCTTTATGTAAGCGCAAAAGTGTTAATATCCTTAACGGTCAGAGCCTTGAGAGTAGGCTCTCCTGTATATTTCAGGCTAACGGCAACATTCTTTTACGAAAAGTGCAGAGCTAGCAAGACTAAGCCTGGAAAATAGGGCACAGGGTTAAAGCAAAAGAAACAGATCTAATATGGAGTGAGATTTGTTCTTTTCTGTTACGATCTGAGGTCCAGGCTTTGACCCCAGTTGATCACCCTGGGCTCAGAAGAATGGCATGCATCAATAACCATAGTGAAAAGTCCGGAGGTGTCTCCAGAAAAACACACACACGCACAAAGTTTTGTAGAGTCTAGAGGCAAGACTTGGGATCATGCTTTCTTGAAGCCCGTGCATGATCTCCTTTGTTCCTGGACCAGAAATTAAGAACACTTCTCATTAATAAAGACAGGAATATGTACTGTTTCCAGTTCTTACTTCCCACTAGAATTGAGCTAACTCCGGGTCTGACCCCAGTTTCAGGACACTGAAACTGTCCTAGTCAACTTTTGTTACTTCCTATCGGGACAAATTCAGTAGTTTTATGTTCTTACTGTCATTCTAGTACCAAGTGACAGAAGGTAACTACCTAGAAAGTCTTTTATGCTAGGACCCTCCATACTCTTGGTTTTCCTTCTGCTTTTTCTCAGTCTCCTTGGTAGACTTCTCTGGTGTCTCACATCAAAATATTGGTGTACCACAGGGGTCACTCCTCAGCCTTGTTTTCCCCAAGGTGACCCCCAGAGTACCAAAGCTTTAAATATCATCTGTCCCCATTTTTATAGTCCAGCCCCAACTTCTTGCCTATTTGACGTCTTGTTAGATCTGTGTATCAAATATGTATCTGAAACTTAACATGGCTGAAAGAAATTCTGCTTTTACTCCAAATCTGCCCTTTCCCCCAATCTTTCTTATCTGAAGACACCTTCATCTAACTAATCACTCTTACCTCACAGAAGAGAAAGAGAGAGATGAGTAGTAGAGTTCTAAATTTTAAATTATAATTGAGAAGGTGACATTTGAGCTAATATTTGATATGCAGAGATCTGGGGGAAGAGTATTTCCAGCAGAGGGAACACTTAGTACAAAGGTCCTAGGGTGAGAGGATGCCTGGTGTTTTCAAGCAAAGTAAGGAGGCTGCTGTCAATTGAGCAGTGAGTGAGGAGGAAGTGTAACAGAGGTCAGAGAAGGGATAGAGTGAGGTCGGGTGGCGGACAGTGAAGCTCATACACGACCTTGTAGGCCAGTGTAAAGCCTTTGACTTTTACTCTATGCCCAATGGGGAGCCATTGGCAAGTTTTTAGCAGAGATATAATCTGCTTTATAATTTTAAAGTAACTCAATTTGCTGTGTTGAGAGTGGACTGTAGGGAGGAAGGGTAGAAGCAGGGAGATCCGTTAGGTGGCTATTAGTAGACCTATGCCAGGGATTCCCAAACTTTGATGCACAGAGAGTAGTGAACCCCCCCTGTGCCCAGGGCACATCCCATACCAATTAAATCAAAATATCAAGGGGTGGCAACCAGGCATTAGTATTTTTTAAGATCCTTGGATGATTCCAATGTGCACCCAAGTCTGGGAACCACTGAACGAGGCCAGAGATGGTTATGACTTGAGTCACGGTAGTAAGCAGTGGAGGCGGTGAGAAGTGCTCAGAGTCTGAATATGTTTTGAAGATTTCACCCAGACTTCCCGACAGCCAGATGTGGGATGTGACAGACAGCATTGACATCAAGGGTGACACTAAAGCTCGTGGACTGAGGGGCTGGTCACCATGTAGTCGCCATGAGCTGAAATGGAGAAGACTGAAGGTGGAATGGGATATTGGGGGGAGAGTCAGAGGGGTACCAATTTGGACACGTTTTGTTTGGGATGCTAAGTGAGCATTAAGACACAAAAAAGTTTGGGGCTGGAGACGCCAAAAGAGAGTTATGGGCATAAAGGTGATATTTAAAGCTATGAAACAGGGTGAATGTGGAAAAGAAAGAGAGGAGATCAAAGACTAAACTCTGGGGCATCCTATTAGCAGGTTGGGGAAAGAGGAGTAACTAGGGAAAGAGGAGTAACTAGGGAAGGAGGCTGAAGTGGTGTCTCTAAGGAGGTGGGAAAAAAACAAGGCGAGTGTGGTTACTTGGAAGCCAGGCGAAGAAAATGTGTTAAGGAGGAGGGAGTGATCACGTGTACTGATGGGTCAGGAAACAGGAAGGTTGAAAATTGACTAGGGTCACTGGGGACTTTAACAAGAACAGTTTCATAGAATGGTAGACAAGACTGGAGTGGGTTTATGATAGATTGAGAGCAGAGAGATTTGAGACAGTGAGTGTAGACTCAACTCTTTTGAGGGGTTTTGCCCTAAAAAAGTACAGAGAAATGGGGCAGTTGCTGGCTGGGAAACTAGGGTCAAAGGGAGTGTTTGTTAAAGTGGAACAAATAACAGCAAGTTTGTATGCCGTCGGGAATCATCCAGTGGAGAGTGAAAATTTGATAAGTAAACGGGGAAGTACTATGCTTCGTCCTGCAGTTGGAGAGACGGGTGGGATCTGCTGCACAGAGAAGGGATTAGGGTTTGACGGGCACAAGTGTAGTTCACCTGTTAACAGGCTGGCAGGCGGAGCCGGTGCGTGCAGATCCTGACAGGTGGCTGGGCGTGATGGTGGGACTCTGGAAGTTCTCTTTCAATTGCTTCAATGTTTCCAGCAAGTTCCAGAAAATTCAGCCTGGTAGGTTGCCCAGACTTCTAATAGACTTAACATTCAAGTGTCTAATAGGAGATGTCAGGACCACTGTAAAGAACCCAGGCAGCTTTAAACATGATCAAAATTAATTTTAGTCATTAGGTACTTTAGTAGTACCTGTGATTTAAGAATACAGTTAACTGTTGGCAGGGAGGGTATCGCTTAGGCGGTGGAGCACATGCTTAGCATGTACGAGGTCTTGGGTTCAATCCCCAGCACCTCCTCTAAAACAGAAATAAACCTAATTACCTCCCCTCGAAAACAAACAAAAAATACAGTTAACTGTTGAAGCAGAGAAACAGCCGGTAGAGGGAGTGCTAAGCACACATGAGGTGAATACGGACATAAGGGCTTATCTTGCTCAGAGATGAGCAGCAGATCCAACACTAATGACAGTATTCACGTTGGTTTTGAACTTTTTATGGGTATTCCTATGGTTTTTTTATGGACGAGGCACATCATCTTGTCCAAAGTTCAAAAGCAGTTTTTGAGACAACAGTCTAAATATTTATCTTCAATGCTTGTTGACTTTTGTGTTTTCTGAATCCCCAGCTGGGCTGAACACATACCAGGAGTTACTGAGGGTTATCCTGGAAATGACTGAGTCTGTCTTTGAAAGTCAAACAGTACCTGAAGCTGAAGGTTAAAAAACATTCCCCCACCCACCCCCCATACTTGATGTGACTGTACGGGTTGCCAGATACAGCAATGTGGACTAGGTTCTGCTTTCTTCTCCTGGATAGTATTTTAAAAGTATTTGGTTTTTGTTGTTGTTGTTGTTGTTTAATATAGAAGTAAAATTTAAGCTCCAAAAAGAGTTATTTAAAACTGAATGACATTCATTTCTACAATCAACTGATACAATGTTGTTCACTTTTTGGTGAATTTCAAGATTTTGTATCAAGAATCAGTTTATCTTCACCCTCTTATATCGACCATCTCTCCCAGTTGTCTTGTATCTAGGGGTAGGGGAACCAGTACTTTGTCCCTCTTAGGACTGGGGCATTTTTCCTGCCTGCTCGTGTAAGTCAGATTTATCTGAATAACTCTCATCCTCAAAGAAAGGATGCCGCAATCTTTTGGGAAAGGAAAAATGACGAATCTGGCTGTTCATAGGGATAGGACAGAGAAGAATATAAGATCCACAATTCACATACAATTTAAATTTAAATGACAGGGGCAAATAGCACCAATCAACCTCTGAGGGAGGAGATTGTCATAAATAGCCCTCTGATGGCAAATTAGTTTCACTTCTGCTTGTGTTAACGTGGCTTTGTGACTGTGGCCACAAAGGGCTACATACCCCAGCTGGTTTCACATTTCTGTACCAAGGCAGAGAAACTGCTGCTGTCTCCTCTGTGGCACCCTGGAGCTGAAGCAGAAAAAGTGACATCTGGTAAGTTGCTTCTCTGATGCAATTTATGCCGTAACTTATGTTTGATTTAAAAAAAAAAGCATTAGATTTACAGAAAAATGAAGATAGTAGAGTGTCCCCATATAACCCACAGCCAGTTTCCTTGCTCATCTTACACCAGCATGATACATTTATCATAATTAATGAACCAACATTTATAACATTATCATTAACTAAAGGCTATACCTTTATCAGATTTTCTTAGTTGTTACCTAATGCCCTTTTTCTGTTTTAGGACCCTGTCCAGGACACCGAATTACATTAAGTTGTCATGTCTCCTTAGGCATCTCTTAGTTGTGACCTTGTTTTTGATGACCTTGACAGTTCTGAAGAGTCCTGGCCAGGTTTGAGGAGTCCTGATCAGACATCCTGAAGGACTCACTTCAGTGGAGATTTGGCTGTGTTTCTCATGGTTAGACTGGAGTTATGGGCTTAGGGAGGAAGGTGACAGAGTTCAGATGTCTTTCTCATCCCATCATATCGGGGGACACGTCATCCACATGATTTATGACTGTTGATGTTGACCTCGATCATCTGGCTGAGGGATTGTTTGTCAAGTCTTCTGACTATGAAGTTACTCCCTTCCCCCTCCTTCCCATCCTGTCCCTTTTGGAAGGAAGTCACTCCGTAAAGGCCATACTGAAGGAGTTGGGGATTAAGTTCCCTTTCCTGGAAGGTAAAGCATGTACCAAAGTCATTTGGAATTTTTCTGTGTGGGAGATTTGTTTCTTCTCCTCTTGATTTGCCTAAAGTAAATTATTTCTTGAGGGAAAGTGAATTTTACTTTCGTGTTTATTTAAGTGAACTTTAAGGTTATGTAAAGGCTGATGAACTAGATAGAAATCTGGAGAACCAGGGTTTAGTTTGAATTTTACTGAACAGTGTGATCTTAGGCAAGGTGCTGAGCATTCCTCCCCAAGCAAAACATATATTCCAGGCATCACTGAGGGTAGAATTAATATCATTTTGTGCCTCATTAACTTTGGCAAGCTTCGGGGAGCAACATGAGAGGATTCAGGTTCATTTCCTTAGAATCTGATAAAGTACGTTATGAAAATCTCTGTTGATTCATGCAGTGCCTCCTCTGCTCTGCCCACCACTGATGGCTGCACGTCTCATGTTGCTCACATTAGCTGATGCGTTAGTGCTGAAAACATAACTCTTGTCCTCTGGGGGTTTGAAGGCCCTTGTTTCACTTTCGCTTCAAGGCCAACGTGTTTAAATTGTTCCTCTGGAACGCCGAAAGCAGTGCAATGTCCAATAAAGTCATTAGGAAACCACTTTTTTTTCCTGCCAACACCAAAGGTGCTTAAAACTTAAAAAGAAAGGAGATGAATCCTAAACGTTATCCACATTCCGTGATGTAATTAAGAGTCTCCTCCTGGCCTTACTTCATTCTTCAGTTACCTCCTTGTGGGAGGGGACAGACTCTACCAAGGGGGTGGGACCCCTCCAAGTGATTGGTCAAGGGGCACAAGAGTGGGAGTCAGTTTATCAGTTAAGGGGGCATCTGTTCCCTCTGAAATAAATAGACTTGGCCCAGGTGAATAGTGGTACTGATTTCTTTTTAACTGTCTTCACCAGATATTCTGAAAGTCAGTGACGTTTGTACAGATGAGTGTCTGTAGACCAACTTTGCATGCAGGAACGATGGCGTTTAGTCCCCGCAATGAACTCCAGACCAAAGTGTTTTTACATTCAGGTTTTCTATGTGAATAAACTGAGGCTCAGGGAGGTTAGGGGGTGTGTTCAGTGTTACATCGCAGTACTGGAGCAGGATCCCCAAATCCAGGCATTCTGACTCCAAATCCTGAGTAATTTCCACTGCACCGTTTGCAGTCTGGAACGTCGCCCACTCAGTGGGCAGACGCCTCGCCCGCGTTATTCCCAGCTGTGTCTCCGGCACCCAGAACAGTGCCAGGGACACAGCGGATACTCAACAAATATTTGTTTAATGAATGAATGAATATAATTCCTGCCATTTTTAATCCTACCATCTAAGACACATTTGAAAGATACACTTCCTCATTCAACACGTATTTTATTCAGGTTACTTAGCACTGAGCACTTCCCACATTGATTAAAAGAAGGAACGAAACCAATGTTAATGATCAAAATGTCTCTTAAAGGAACTGTGCTAATTGCAGCGTTTTTTTCCCTATTGGCGTTGCCTTGGGGTGGGGGGTCAGTAGGGGACAGAAATGAAAGGAAAACAAGAATAATGTTGGGAGAGGCTAATGACATGAGGCAAGGGAGAGCTGGATGACTAAAGGAGAAGAGGCCTGGACGTTTGTAATTCTCCATAAACACATTCGATTCTGCATCCGATGCGAACTAAGTGTGGTGAACAGGTTCTCCTCAGCCTCTCTCTCCGCGCCCACCATCCACGCGCGCATGCGCGCACAGAGGCACTCCCCCACTCACCCCCCCAGCCCCCCACCTACTCCCATGCTCGATCTAGCTTATTTGGCTTCTAAGCGCGTTGAAGAATTTTCAGGCGTCAGTTTGAGTCCCCAAGTCCAGTTTTATCAAGTACGCGCCCTCCTTCTCAATGCCCTTCACTCCTCAAATGCCTTGTCATGCTTTGGAGGGAGCCCCTCACTGGCCGGCCCTGTCCCCTCCATTCTCCTACTTTATTTTTTTTTTAACTGAAGTATAGTCGGTTTACAATGTTGTGTCCATTCTCCTCTTAAGCTCCAGAGGCTCTGTTTACATAGTACTCATTAGAGGCTGCTTGGTGGAGGGAAGAGAATACTGAACTTGGACTCACTGTGTGACTTTGGACAAATTCCTTTCCCTCTCTGGCCCTCAATGTCCATATCTGCATAAGAAGGAGCTCTAGAACATTCTTTATTTAATTGCACTGTGTGAAGCTGTTCTAGTATAGGGATGACCATTGCTTTGTGTCACCTCTGCTAAGTTCTTTAAAAAAAAAAAAAAGATGATAAGCAAATCCAAACAGAAGAAAGGGAGAGTGAGAGAAGCAAGAAAAACCGTCGAAAGTCAGTTATTTAACAGGAAGCTGGTTCTGTGCAGCCTTCCCACATCTAGCTAAATCTGCAGAGGATCTCATATGAAAGATATTCTTAGCTCAGTGCACATGAATGTAAATAAGTACTGAAAGCAAACTTAAGCGATAACCACATAGGTGAAGTATCAGTGAAATAAACCACACGGGAAAACCTTGACTGTGTGAGCAATACATTTGGGTGTTTTCAATTGCTTCTCAATAGAAACCAAATTTTCACAAAATACACCATGGTTGCTGCCTCTCTCTGGGGGAAAGCGGGGCTCGACATAATTTGAGGAAGGACTGTGGGTCTTTTGCTCCTTAAAGCAAAATGAACCTGAAATTACAGTAATCTCAGATGTGCTACTTTTGGTTACTCAGGAGTCCTGGTCATTGGGACAGCCTTGGTTTTAACAGCAGGCGACATTGCAGAATAAGAACTTGAATCATTTTGGCTCTCAACTATATCAGAGACTATTCACACCTTAAGGACTAGGTCAGTCTTTCATTTACAGATGGGAAAACTGTGAGATCTGATGACTGGGTGTGAAGTCCTGCAGCTCCTTTGATTTTGGCAAAGCCAGAACTGGAAACTTGCACACCTCATCTCCAGCTTAGCGTCCTTCCCTCCAGCTCAGTTAGTTCAACTCAAAGACTCTGTACTGAGGGTCTGTACTGACTACCCCCCTAGTAATTGATATATTTGTTTACAGGTCCTCTTTTGTATGTGCTTGGCATTTATTTCATTGTGCCCCCTGAGCCCTTTTGGTAAACGATCCCTTTACATTTTCCAAGATCTTATTTTGTCGGTCAGAGGCTTCCTCTCTGGCAGTGCTTGAACATTGGCAGAAGAAACAAATGAAGCTCAAGTCACCACAATCATGACTCAAGTAGCTTCCAGTTTCTCCAGTTGTGCATTTCAGGGTCACAAATTCCTTGTGTGCTGGGACCGCAGGTGCTGCTACAGTGGGAGGGTCATGGTTTGGTGTCTCCTCTACCTGAAGCTAAACCCAGTCCAACCCTGGGTAATTCCACGCTAACAGCCCTTGCTGGCCACCATGTGCTGTTGATTTAGTACATGCAGTCCTATGACCCTGCAGGAAGCCAGAACCCCCGCCCACATTCTAAAATTTGGTCAACATGTCTCTTCCACTCCAACTCCACTTCCTCTCCGATTGGAGGGCCTTAGAATCAGTGTTGGAATGGGGGTCACACTTATCAGTCTCTCAGGTCTTTGGGGCTTCATCCCGCTTCTCTCTCTGTTCCTGGAATTTGACTTCTGGAGTACAGGTTGTCCCGGAGGGTGACAGCGGATTTGTCCCTGAGAGATCTGCACATTTTGTTTTGTTTCCAGTGCCCACTGTGATCGAATGCCTGACATTTTGTGTGACTGTGGCTCATGGAGCCGCCGATCTCTTTCCAAGGGGGAATTCCTAGCTCCGTATCTAAAGTTATTGGCAGGCTTTACCCAATTTTTCCTCCGAACTAGGTTTTGATGTGGTTTGGCATTTCCAGCTCAGCGATTCAAACCAGGGAACTCATGAATTTTCATGACCCTGTTCTCCAAAGAACACTCCCAGTGCCAGCTTTGCTGGTGAACTTTTCAAGCAAAAACATAGAATCTTCGGGATTTGAGGAAGACTGAAAATTCATCTAGTCTAATGCTATTATTAGGTGGATCTGCCAGTAAAGGTTGAGGTAGAAAAGTCATCACTTTCTAAGGGAGCTTGTTCTACTTTAGACAACGCTGATGACCAGAGAATGTCAAGCAAAAATGTGCTTTCTGGTACCTTCCACCGAGTGGATCTAATTCTCCCGTCTTGGGACCACTGGAAACATGCATTGTCCCTCTTTTACGTGTAGCTTTAAGGTCATATATTTGAAGACCCCCATGAAGTCCTCTCCTGTCTTCTGCCTTGGCCTGTGTCTTCCTTTCCTTAAGCGAAACACCCCTAGTTCCAGGGGAGCAGCCCTCACTATGAACGCTGCCCGCGTCTGTTTATTCCTACTCTTTAAGCCAGGACTCTAACCATGTCAGAAACAAATTTGGGTTTTAAACATCCTTTGGTGTAGAATCTCATCCAAAGTTCTTCATCCATTATTTCATTCATTCATTCATTCATTCATCATTATTGTCAGTCATTGCACTTCTGATAGAAGTGCAACATTGAAACAGATGCAACCATGACCTGAAATAGCTCCTGTTTCAGTCAGGAGGGAGAGACACGCAGGGAACTCAGTCAGCATTGTGGCCCTGGTGTGCTCGGGGCAGCGGTGACACAAGCAGGGAATGACTGCAAATCAAGGCACAGTTGCACAGAAGTGCTAAAACGGGATTGTGAAGAAAGAGTAGGGCGTCACCAGGAAGAAGGAAGGGGGAGGGGAGAAGGGGAGGGGAAGGGCACCCTGCACAAGGAACAGCATGTTCTTTCCTGGATTCCCCGCCTCAAGA